TCACAACACACCTGTTCTACTCCACCTCACAACACACCTCATTCCCACTCACCCCACAACAAACCTTTCACCATCTCACAACACACCGTTCTACTCACCCCACAACACACTCATTCCCACTCACACCCCACAACAACCTTCTACTCCATCCTCACAACACACCTGTTCTACTCCACCCAACAACACACTCCATTCTACTCACCTCACAACAAACCCTTTCTACTCACACCTCACAACACACCTGTTCTACTCACCACAACACACCTGTTCTACTCCACCCAACAACACACCCATTCCACTCACCTCACAACACACCTGTCTCTATCACTCCAACAACACACACCTGTTCTACTCCACCTCACAACACACTCTGTTCTATTCACTCCACAATTCACCCATTCTATTAACCTCACAACACACTCATTCATTTCCACTCCCCACAAACACACCCATTCCATTCACCTCACAACACACTCATTCTATTAACCTCACAACACTCATTCTATTCACCCCACAATACACTCATTCTATTCACCTCACAACACACCTCATTCTATCTCAATCTCACAATACACTCATTCTATTCACCTCACAATACACTCATTCTATTCACCTCACAATACACTCATTTCTATTCACCTCACACATACTCATTCTATTCACCTCACAATACACTCATTCTATTCACTCACACACACCTATTCTATTCACCTCACACACTCATTCTATTCACCTCACACACACTCATTCTATTCACCTCTCAATACACTCATTCTATTCACCTCACAATACACCTATTCTATTCACCCCACACACCTTTTTATTCACCTCACAATACACTCACTCTATTCACTTGAAAACACACTCACATTATATGAATTATACGTCAATTCTAGCTCACTCATCAGCATATTGTTGCCCTTACCTGAGAACACACACACACACCTTAGCTCATACTTCCTAAGCTCACCTATGCTTCCCTGCCTGGTCTTCCTCCTTAGATGTCACACAGAGAGGACTCCCAGAAAGAGTGCAGAAGAGGGAGTGCAAGATTATTCTCTCTCCCTCCTACTCCACATATCAAGAAGCGCTTAGTACACTAACCCTCTCGCCTCTCTCTGATCATCACTATGACTTCGTCTGTAAGTTTGGGGAGTAGGTTCTGCACTATCCTTGCCACCGTCTCCTGTTCCCACCCGAAACTTCTCGTCTACGAATTCCTGTTTGACACTACAACCGCATTCAGCCGATACGCGCATGTACCATATCAATATTTATCAACAACTCGTAGTTCACCGGTGTGTTCACTCCCAGCCAATCGTACTTTTCTAATTTAACTGTGCTGAACTTCTTTATTAAATGACCCCATTGTCATTATATATTATTTTTGTACAGCTAATATCACTTGTATATTACTTGTCAATCGAGTGACCCACTACACAATTTCGTAACTTTTATCATCCCCGTTTATTGTATATTTTCAGTTTTTGGGCTGCAATGTTCTTTCAATAAACCATTAATAATTATTATTATTATTATTATTTTTATTATTATTTTTATCATTATTATTATTATTCGCACGCACGCACACACTACTCTTCTCCACCACTACCAACACACTAACCACCCAACTTAGTCAGGCATATATAATTCTTACAAAAGCTTTCTCTTACCTACCCATCCTAACTCATTTACTTATTTATAATCCACCCACAGACTCACAGTCACTCACCCTTCCACACGCCACACTACAAAGCATGGCACCCAATCCAACCTATTGCATAGTAGGCCACTCTTACTCATCACAACCAAATGTAACAAGTTTCACTCACTACCCATCACAGCCTCCTTCATTCCCCACAGCACAGAACTCCTTCATTCCCCACAGCACAGAACCTCCCTCATTCATCACAGCACAGAACCTCCCTCATTCACCATCGCACAGAACCTCCATCATTCACCATAGCACGGAACCTCCCTCCCTCACCACAGTACAGAACCTCCCTCCCATTCACCACGGCACTAGAACCTCCTCCCTCACCACAGCACAAGCCTCCCTCCCCTCACCATAGCACAGAGCCTCCCTTACTCACAGCACAAGACCTTCCTCATTCACCATAGCACAGAACCTCCCTCCCCTCACCACAGCACAGAACCTCCCTCCCCTCACTTGCAGCTGAGAACCTCCCTTACTCACAGCACAGAGACCTCCTCCCTCACCACAGCACAGAACCTCCCTTACTCCACAGCACAAGAACCTTCCTCATTCACCATAACGACTCCCTCATTCACTACAGTACAGACACCCTCATTCACCGCTTTAGAACCTCCTCCCTCACCACAACTGAGAACCTCCCCTTACTCCACAGCACACAGAACCTCCCTCCCTCACCATAACTGTAACTCCCTCCCTCACCTTAGCACATAACCTCCCCTCATTCACCACAACTGGGGAACCTCTCTTACTCACCACAGCACAGAACCTCCCTCTCATTCACCGCAGCACAGTACCTCCCTCATTCACCACAGCACAGAACCTCCCTCATTCACCATAGCACAGAACCTCCCTCATTCATTACAGTACAGAACCTCCCTCATTCATTACAGTACAGAATCTCCCTCACCACAGCACAGAACCTCCCTTACTCACAGCACAGAACCTCCCTCATTTACCATAGCACAGAAACTCCCTTACTCACCACAGCACAGATCCTCCCTTACTCACCACAGTACAGAACCTCCCTCATTTATCATAGCACAGAACCTCCCTCCATCACCACAGGACATTCCCACCCTCACAGACCCCCTTACTTAGCCGGTAGACTCATACACTGAGGAGGCGTAAGGACTGTGGGCTCAGTGGCTGCCAGGGGGAGCTCTCCAGGCTAGAGCGGCTCATAAATAAATTATGTAGCCAGGGAAGTCCTCACAGGGCCCAGAATCCAAGTTAACTCCACCTCCCCGTCCCTCTCTCTCTCTCTCTCTTGTGCTTCTGTTCTCTACCTTCCATCATCTTCAAACCTATTCTGTTTTATTTTATTGCATCCATCTTTCTATTATCCTTTTCCTCTTTTCATTGCATCCCCCTCCTCCTCTTTATTCTTCTTCCCACTGTCATCTTTTTCTTTCTCCTCCTCCTCCTCATTCATCCCTTTTCTTATTACTCCTCTTTTTCTTCCTCCTCCTATTCCTCGTCCATTCTTTTTCCTAATAATCTTCTTGTTTCTCCTATTTTTCCTCCACCTTTCTTTCTTACTTCATCTCTCTTCTTGTTAATCCTCTCCATTCCCCCCATACTTCCAGTGTTACTCTTGCTCCAGCTCCTTCCCAAGAGGAGGGCGGGGAGAGGGGATCTGGTCTTTTAAGTAAAGAGGGAAAATGGTCTTTGAAGAAGAGGGGAACCGGTCTTTGAAGGAGATGGAACAGGGTCTTTGGAGAAGAGAAACGAACTGGTCTTTGGAGGACAGGGTAGAGGGTCTTTTGAGGAGAGAGGGGAATCGGTTTGTGGAGGAGGGGGAAACTGGTTCTATCGAGGAGAGGGAAATCGGTCTTTAGAGTAGCAGCTTGAAAGGAGTATGAGAGTGGATTTGAGAAGAGGGAGCGCAAGTATCGAGAACTCAACGACTGTGTGGGAATAGCAATGAGATTATTACACAGGGACATGACCCTCTCCCTCAGTACTATGTGTGTGTGAGAGAGAGATCCTGGACAACAAGCAGTACTATGGCTTCTCTTCTGAGAACTGAGTGGGAATGGGAACGATGATATCACGTAGGGACGTATCTCGACTCACAAGTAGCCCAGCGGGAATGGTTTATCCGACAAGGGTTGGGTGGTGTGTTGGAGTGGGAACGACAAGTGGACATTTACTCACATTTAACTGTTCCTGAAGTGAGTCGGGGAGTTGTGAGGTGGTGATCAGTTTAGTCAATGTTGGACAATATATATATTTGTACCTAAACGCGTATATTAACTTACATATTTAACCCTATCTTATAATTTATGTTTTAATGTTGTTCTGAAGAAAATAAAGACGGTTTATTTTTTCTCATATCATTTATTACCAAAATGCACATCCCAAGCCTAGCGTTAAAAAAGTACTCCCGCATCCCCCGTCTCCTCCCTCCGGCCCCGAGACACCCCCCCCCCCCAAACAATGTCAACACTCCCACCTACTTTGTTATTATGACACCACTTATACCATCCTCCCCAACGGTAAAAAAAAATATAAAAACCTTCGAGTCACTTGAATCATCTGATGCTGACCGCCTCCACCTCCTCACCAAAGAAATTACATTTTAATCCGTCACTACAATAACCCGGAAACAAGTAAGGGAGAGGGATGCCGACCTGCCCCAACACACCTCAATTATCTGTCAAGGAAGTTCTCTTTCAGGTTTTTTCAACAATCTTTGTGGACATTTGCATCTTTTAAGCTATGCTGAAGCAATAGGAAAAAAAGGCCTTGACTTGAATAAAAACTGACAGTCGCCATGGAAAATACATACATTTAACAACCTAATTCAAATGATTACTATCAGGTGAGTGGGTAAGGCCTCTCCTATCCTCTCCCATACTTCCTCGATGCTCTCACTCCTGTGTTACGTCCACCGTCCAGCCACACCAACCTGTGATCTGTTGGTGCAGTTCTAAAATTTGCTGAAAATTACAAATCCGGCAGATATACTCATATTTATAGAGCGATATACAACAAACCCCCAAAACAGACACGGAATTAGACTTTACTAAACAGTTTTAGGTTCGACCATGCGTTTATTATACTGTATTAGACAAAACACCTGCAGAGTATAGTACTGCATGGGAGAAAGATGTGTTGAACAGCCACACGTTGTCTGCTGTGATGTACAGCACGACACCTGCAACGCAGCAGAGTGCACACCTTCACTAAACAATCAGCACAAAATATGTTTGTATGCATCTTAATAGTTAATCAAAAGACTATACATGTTACACTCAGTTGTGTAGTTGACAACGGCAGATCAGAAGACATCGGAATAAACAAAGGGAAATATGAAAAATGTACTCACCGGTATTCTGGCGTAGGATGTGAGATCCAACCACGACTTGACTATCTCACCCTCGTTGTCACTGCGCTCTCCCTGCAGCTGGACACTGAGTTCTTCGTCCTCGTTGCCGGCCTCGCCAATCGCCCCGTTTATACCATAGGACGGATCTGATGCCCGCCTCTTAACCCGGGTGTTACTGTCCCGTGGATGACTTTTCAGGACTTTTGGGGGTTCTGATGGGGGCGAGGGTCCGCGGAGTACCGGAGGCGGTGGGTGAGGCGGTGGGTGAGGCGGGGCGTGGAGTAAGTGATGGCGCTGGATGGTGCTGTCATGAGTAAATGGGTGGTCCTCCACCAACATCTGCACACGGCTTTTCAGGAGCTCCACCTCGCGGCTGATGAAGGACTCCCGCCTCACTCCCTCTACCTTCACCGCCTCCAGCTTCCCTCGCACCGCTTCCAGACGACCGAACAAAAAGAAAAAGGACGCGGCCTGAGTCAACACAAGGACACACAGGAAGACTGACAAGAGCGGGAGAAAGAGAGAGCGTTCCCGACTGCCCAGTCGGTGGTGGGGGTCCCCCTGGACCTCCGAGGTCAGGGGCTGCTTATCATTCATAGCTGCCCTGGCCAAAGGTCACTCTTATACCCGGAGGAAGGCCCGACACACCTCTTGTCCACTGTCACTGTTGACACAACTCCTGGGATTATCTACATAATCTGACCACACACTTCCAGCAGCCGCTACGAAACTGTTATCAGTTCTATAAGAGAAAGAAATAAAATAAAATAATTACTGACAAGTGAAACGTTTTTTTTATTTCAAATTATTAAATTATGATTAATATATATATATATATATATATATATATATATATATATATATAAGATAAATCTTGATAAAATCACAGGGGCAACTGAATTACATGGACAGAGAGAGGCCTAAGTACACAGGGTTACCTTACTAAACATGAGGTCAGGTCATAAACATGACATCCACTAATTCGCACACCAACACCACCACACACGCAAAGGAGCTTAAGAGAAAGGGCGACGTGACTAGTCAAGTTAAGTCAGGTCAAAAATATTGGACCCACTAATCATATATCCTATATCTAACTCAAATGCTTTAAAAGTATTTTTAACCTTGGGCCACTGACAAATAAATTTGTGTAACATATTATCAGTTTTGTACTAACCATCACTAAGGTTCATAGAATTCAATTCCCTAATCAAACTAGCTTCAACCAGAAGTCTTTCTGTGACACATGATGATTTGTACACTTCGAAGTTGTTTTCCCAATCCATGGGATGATTATTGTTCCTAACATGAACGAACAGTGCACTGCTTTCAGATGGTGTTCTGATATTGTACTTGTGCTGTTTAGTTCTGAGTTGCAATGCTTTCCCAGTCTGACCTACATAATTTCCATTACAGTTGCTACATGGAATGCAGTAAACACTTCCATTTACATTCAAGGTTGGGCTATTCTTGATTAATATATTGGTAATAGTAGAGTCATACTTAAAAACAACATTAATATTTAATAATTTAAGGGACTGAACTAACGGGACAAATTCATTGCGATAAGGCAGAGTCAAAATATTCTTAAATGTAGGAATTTGCCTGGTTTGAGTAGAATGAAAAGATTTTTTAGCCCTTTTAAACCAATGATCAACAAACAATGAAGGGTACCCAAGTTTTTGTGCAATAGACTGAATGTGTTTCAGTTCTTCATCAATAAATTCAGCGTCACAATTACGCAAACATCTCAAAAACATAGCAGAAAAAACTGACATTTTGGTAGATTCCAGGTGACTCGATAAAAAATTTATGAAACTGTCTACCTGTGTAGGCTTTCTGTACACCTTAAATTTATAGTTATGGCCATTTCTAATAAGCATATCAAGAAATGGAAGGGATCCATTTATTTCCCTTTCAATTTTGAAGGTAATACAAGGGACAATATCATTAAGCTTGTCTAAAAATTCCAATGGGTCACTGTTTCTAGGCCAAAGACAAAGAACATCATCTACATATCTATACCATGGAGGAATAAAGTCCCCTATATTGGGTAGTAATCTAGCCTCAAAAAACTCCATATAAATACAGGCTAGAGGAGCAGAAAGACAATTACCCATGCTCATGCCAAATATTTGCTTGTAAAACTTCCCATTTGCTCTAAACACATTGTCAGTAACGCATAAATATCAATTTAAGAAAAGTATCATGTTCAATAGTCAAATCTAACAGTTGCAATTGATCTTTAAGAAATGAAAGTAGGTCTTTCACTGGTACTCTAGTGAAAAGTGAATTTACATCAAAACTTATTAATTCACATGGTTCATTATGTTTCTTGAGTTTATCAATTAAATCACTGCTGTTGTGTATATGTGAATTAGATATTTGGCCTGTAAGAGGGGATAGCATCCTAACCAACCACTTGGATAATTTGTACGTAACAGAACCCACAGAACTCATGATAGGACGTAATGGATTGTTAAGCTTGTGTGTTTTGATCAATCCATACATATAAGGTAAAGTGGGATTGATTTGAGAGAGCTGTTTGATGAGATCGGGGTTCTTTTTCAATAACATCTTCATTTTGGAATTAGATAACTTATTAATATTTTCCAGGGGATCTTTTGTAAGCTCACAGTAAGTGCTTTCATCACTTACTAATGAATTCATCTTATCATTATAGTCGCTTTTATCCAAAATAACAATAGCATTGGACTTATCAGCCTTAGTAATATGAAAATATGAATATTCACATTTCTTTTCAAGCTTATCAAGGCTGTTTCAAATCTTTTTGGAATGTTTGAAACAATCTTCTTACGTAAAACACTATGTACACAACCTTTAGCTATGGAAATATCTTCATTTGTAACATCTATCCACTTATTCTTTTCTAGGTTGATTATACCTTTAGCAATAGTAAGTGGATTAACGCACCATTGAGTGATAATAATAATAAAGAGTATTTACAGCTACATAGTTCACACAAAAGATATCCGGTAAATTCATCATCATCATCATCATCATCGTTTTAAGGTCATTTTCCTTGTTTTTTGTTGTTGTTTTGTTTTTACGGGGAATAGCTCACCCGGGCACAGGTCATCGATCCACAACGGGGCCTAGGGAGCGAAAAAATAAAGAGTGGGTTACCTTGACGGTAGTTCGCCATACTACACGGAAGAGACCCAGAATGTGAATTACGTGCTATTTTATCTGAGGTGGTACTCTAAGTGAGGATGAAGTCTGGAAACACCCCGCTTGATCCTAGATAGAACAAACAAAGCAAATAGTGAAAATACCAAAATTCCCCCAATTCCCAAGATATTTAAATGTGCACGCCTCGTAAGCAAAGGTCATGGCGTTAGATCTCTGGGATGAAAAAGATTTTCATGGTGGATTACCCTCAGGAAAGCACGATCATAAATGGTTATTATGGAAATGAACCATGTCAATTCTGAGTCAAAATCTGGGAGAAACACGGAAAAATTTTTGGGAGGTGCCTAGTTTCTTCAGGACAATATTCCTACACATTCTGAAATATTTCGAAAGATAATTCCCAAGAGATTTAACATTTTAATACAGCTCGTTATTCACCAAATGTGACACCCTCAGTCTTTCTCAACTTGTTCCTTCAGCTGAACTTCAAGAAAATAAGTTTAACTGAGAAGATACAGTGATTCCTGTTTTAAGTCAAGCACATGGTGACTCAGAGTGCACAGAAGTTACCGGACGAGTATGATAAGTCCGCATTGTAAGGAGACGACAGCCAGAATCAATAAATGTAAAGGAGAAAAAACAGAGAGATGTACAATACAGTATTTAAGCTATCCTACGCGCGTAAAGATCTTTATACGCAGTACTAATTTATAACAAACCACACATTAAATTAACCTGGTGGGGTAAAAGAAGAAATATTTTAAATGTTTTCCCTCTTTTATTTAGCTTACTAGATTGTGCCGGACATCTGTTGTATTATATCAGCGTGAGAATTAATACAATATAATTATATCCTCTTTCCTCTGACAGAGCCACGACACTTCTGCCATAACCTCCATTAGCACGACTACTCCCCCTTCTGTCCACCACCACTAGCACGACCACGCCCTTCTGTCCTCCACCACTAGCACGACCACGCCCTTCTGTCCTCCACCACTAGCACGACCACGCCCCTTCTGTCCTCTACCACTAGCACGACCACGCCCCTTTTGTCCTCCACCACAGCACGACCACGCCCTTTTGTCCTCCACCACTAGCACGACCACGCCACTTCTGTCCACCACCACTCGCATGACCACGCCCTTCTGTCCCACCACTCATGACCACGCCCTTCTGTCCTCCACCACTGCATGACCACGCTTCTGTCCTCCACCACTAGCACGACCACGCCCATCTGTCCTCCACCACTAGCACGACCACGCCCTTCTGTCCACCACCACTCGCATGACCACGCCCTTCTGTCCTCCACCACTCGCATGACCACGCCCCTCAGTCACCAATTTTAAGCCCTAGGGATCTCTGTAGGCGTTATAAGCCATTCATACACGCCCGCCTCCCTGAACCTCGATGACCAACCAACAACAGCACTCGCACACACACACACACACACACACACACACACACACACACACACACACACACACACACACACACGCACACACATACACACATAAGCATACAACACACACACACACACACACACACACACACACACACACACACACACACATACACACACACACACACACACACACACACACACACACACTCTATCTGTCCAGCGACTCCCCTATCTCTCTCGGTATCCCTCATATTCGTCTTAATTCCTCCTTTATTCTCGTTTTACATGTTCTTTATTCTTTCACTATTCTATATTCTAACATTTTATATCTTTCTCGTTCCCTGTTGTCCCCTCCTCCCCTAAAGCCCCGGGATGAATACAAGAGATACCTTGTTGTTTTCGACCTTGTCTCCTTCCTACTCTCTCCTCAGTTCCCGTCCCTCTACACTGTTCTCTCCTCACTTCCCTTCCTTCTACACTACTCTCTCCTCAAAGAGAGTAGTATATATATATATATATATATATATATATATATATATATATATATATATATATATATATATATATATATATATATATATATATATATATATATATATATATATATAATATATATATATATATATATATATATATATATATATATATATATATATATATATATTATCATATAACAGCAATCCTCCGGGCGGCCATCCGCTAGGCCACGGTAGGACGCCACCCTCCGGGAGGCTCCACATTGTCTCACAGTTCAGTCCCCAAAACTTCTTCCATCAATAGTTCATTAACGGTATGTAAGTTCCACCATGTTTTTCACTACAACGGTACAGCAAAGTATATTTTTTAGCATTAAACTGTTATTATTTTATTGTCTAATCATCACTTACACATAACACCACCCATCATCACTATAAATAACATCATCCATCATCATCACTACATATAACACCATCCATCATCACCACATATAACACTACCCATCATCACTACATATAACACCATCCATCATCACTACATATAACACCATCCATCATCACCACATATAACACCATCCATCATCACTACATATAACACCATCCATCATCACCACAAATAACACCATCCATCATCACTACATATAACACCATCCATCATCACCACATATAACACCACCCTTCATCACTACATATAACACCATCCATCATCAC